GAGAGGGAGAGGGAGAGGGAGAGAAGGCCGGGAAGGGAAACACAGCCCGAAACGCACCACCACACCACCTGTGTGTGTCAGGTTGACGGCTTCTATCGCACTGGCAACGACCTGTGGGCGGCCGAGTGCCGCGAGAGGTCGCCCCCCAGCACCATCATCCGAGTCGAGGACATCTTCCACATCCCAATGCCCATCTTCAACGTCACGCCCAACGCCTCCGATGGGCATCCGAGTCAGCAGGACAGTGGTGAAACGCCCCACGGCATCACCGCATACAAAATGGAGTGGATCGACAGTAAGCAAGCTCGTGCCTGCGTGTTTTTCTTGGGGTGATAGCTCATGTAGCCCCAGGTGGCTCACCCCTGACTCCCTCTCTCTCTCTCTCTGTGTGTGGTGTGGTGTGGTGTGGTGTTTTCAGAGACGCTGGGTGAGTTGGAGGGGCCGCTCTCGGAGAGGGCGCTGGTGGCCATTGCCGAGGGGGTCGTGCGTGCAGTCGAGTACCTGGGCGGAAGCGGGCTCATTCACGGGGACATTCACGTAAGTTAGTTAAGTGAGTCAGTCAGGCAGTGGGTCAGTCAGTTGGTCACCGGTTGGTGTGTGCATTGCTACACCCACACACCCACACATACACACATACACACACGACACGTGTGTGGTCGTTCGGTGGGTCGGTGGATGGATGGATGGATGGGTGGGTGGGTGGATGGGTGGATGCTTATCTATCTATCTATCTATCGCTCAGGAGAGCAATATTGGCGTGCGAGGGCCCACCGGTGGCCCTGACCAGCACGAGTACGAGCCCGTCCTGCTGGACATGGATCGGCTACACAAGCAGGGCGGCGACATCGTCTTCTCCATCCCTGAGGAGGCCGAGCAGCAGCCGGGCGTCCGCCACGAGCCACCGGGGGACCTCTCCGCGGCCCGCGACGTGCAGAATGCCGCCAGGTGCCTCATCCAGGAGTTGAAGCGTCTGGGGGCCACGCAGCGCCTCATTGATGTCTTGGAGTTCGGCCACGAACCCAGCTGCACACTGCCCCAGGACTGCGCATTTGAGGTACGGAGGCAGGAGGCTGAGTACGTACTTACGCACTCTGCCGCTTAGCTGTCAATGACTCAAGTCGGTGCATACGTGTGTCTGTGTGTGTGTGTGTGTGTGTGTGCTGGTGGCAGGGTGGTTGGGTGGTTCAGGTATACAAGGGCCTCTGCGAATTGGGCCAGAAAATTCGCAAGGAGAAGGCGGCCGCTTCCCGTGCGCAGACCAAGGAGCCGCCCAAGGGCAGCGTACCCGCCGATGAGGCGGCGTCGGCCTGCCGCAAGAATCCCCCCATGTCGCCGCCCTCCGTGTGGCCACCGGCCTCCCTCACACCACAGCTCGACGCGGCCAGGCCAATCAATCATGACGGTGGCCCAGACATTTGCAGCACCCATGACCACCACACCAGCAGCAGCACCAGCGCAATCCCGCCAATGGACACTGCCGAGAGGCACAACCGGCGCCAACAAGAGCAACACCACAAGCAATGGCACTCCCCACGTCTCTCTGCCTGATGCATTCACACACCCACACACACTCAAATGCAATGCAAGTCTGGCATGTGCCCACAGGCTCAGAATGGGGCACATGCGTGTATGGGGAAGAGGTTGGCGGAAGACTAACTTGATGGGTAATGCAATATGCATGTGGCATCGATCAAGACAGACAAATACTTACGAGACATTCATTGGCCGGAGCAGTGTCATGGACAATTGATTGAGTCTACACCACACATACATACATCTGCACTGCTGCATCACTTGGAACAGTGCTGTTGCCTCGCTTCCAATAGTCTGTTGAGAGCAGACACAAATGCAGATCGGTTCAGGACGGGATAGACGGCAGAGAGCAACGCCTGCGCGACACGCACACACATGAATGGCACGACACGTTTCATTGATTGCGAGTCGTCGGTTCTTCAGGTACCTGTCCTGGTGCCTTGAACGTTGGGGTGACGCCAGGCTTGTCTGTGAGTTTGTCGACCGCGAGGAAGGCCCGGCCGATCTCCACGGGGGTGCCGTTGTCGCCCTCATCCAGAGCCAGCTGTGCCTGCACACACAGTGTTGCATGCCAGTCTCTCTGTAAGCGCTCTTGTTGTCTTGCCTCCCTCCTCCCTCCCTCCCTCCCTCCCTCCCTCGGGCTCTCTCCGCTGGGTATGTAACTAACGCCCCACATTGGTTATCATTGTTTCTATCTCAGCCCTTGAGGCGTCCCTCTTGGCATGGCGGTAGTTGTCGAGCAGCTCTCGCATTTGCTTGGCTGTGTACCCCACATTGCGATAGCCGACCTCCGTCCTCTTGTCATACGGCACCACCACACCAAACCCTGCACGGCACGGATGGGAGGGAGGGACCACAAACAAACCTCCAGCATCCACCGTCTGGGTGTGACTGACGTGTTTAGCTGTGTTTTTCTGTCAAAGGTGACTGACTGACCGAAGAGGTCCTTTGCGACAGCTCTTTTCTGGCGCTCGCGCCACTTGGGTCCTTGCCCCTCAGCAATCGATATGCCCTTGACAGCTGCGGCATCCCTGAAACGCTCAGCAATCGACCTGCAGGGCAGCAACATGCATGCAACCTGACCACTCAAGATTGGCCTTTTTGCTCGTTGCCTTGCTACTCTTTCGTGTCTTTCTTGTGGGCAGCTTGTTTCTCAGCTCGTGAGCAGTGAGCGACGATGCTCCCAATGAGACTCTCGCTGGCCACCTGCAGACCAGACCATCCGGACAACGGGTGCGACGCTGTGTACAGGTGACATACGTGTTGGGGCTAACGTGGAATGTGCTTCCTTCGGATGGCTTGTTTGCGACAACGCTGATAGGCTCCTGGCCGACCCACAGATACATACAGAACACAGCCATGAATGCTCTGGGGTGGTGCTCTTGTTTCGTGGCTGCTGCACACCTCATCGGGCTCATCACGGAAGTATGCCCAGTGCATTGGCTGCTCGCCTTGGTCCGTCCGTTTCATTACCACGCACACCTCCGGCATGTCTGCACGGCACAAAAGGCCGTCCCCTCCTGTTGCTCTCTCTCTCATGGCCGCAGAGCCCACCGTAGAAGAACCGTTCGTCCAGGTCATCTGTATGAGGTGGCAGCTCGTGAGCCGACATGTAGTCATTGACCAGGCGAAACGGACCTGAACCAAGAAGAGCCCGCAGATGTTTGATTCGTCAGATGCACGTGATGACTTGCCTGTGAGCTCCACATGGAATTCTCTGAGCGCCGTCATGGGTTGACAAGGGTCAATAGATGCACAGCACTCCATGACGGCGAACATCTCTTCAGGTGCACGTAAAGAGAACCGCTCCTGCATTGCATCCATCTCTCTTAATTAATACACAGCACTGCTACGTTGGATGTACGTGGCCTCTCGTCTTACCTGGATGGCCTTTTGAAGCACTTTGCGGTCGTCGTCTGTCAGCGCCGGCCGCATCCTCTTCTGAGCCGGCTCAGCCTCGGAACCCCTCCGCTTCGCCTTCTCACTCATCGATGAATCTTCCAATCAATCAACCCAAACGCTGGGGTTGCACCCGCTGTTTAGTTCACGGCTTTGTTTTCCAGGAAAGATCCCCAAGTCTCAAGCTCGCAATGCTGAAAAACCCTGAACCCCTGCCAAACCCAGAGATTCGCTAGCGGTTTCGTTCGGCATGGAGTGCGACTACGCGTGGCAGGATGTTTTGGAGTGTATCACACCGACTCCCGAGGAAAGAGAGAAGAAGGAGGAGCTGTTGGACTGTTTGCGGCGCTTTACGGCAGCATGCCTAGACCTGGAGGTGACAGTGGAGGTGTCGGGGAGCACCGCATGGGGCGTCGAAACGAGACACAGTGACCTGGACGTCGTCCTCCTTGTCAATGACGTCAGACGATACGGAGAGGGCAAGGTGGTTCTGCAGACCATCTCGAGGGCACTTCAGCAGATGCGCACCCGTCCCGAGGCCGACGCCACGCCGCTGTCGGTCAGCAACTCGCGGCAAGAGGGGGATGGGGCGAGTGCCCAGCACGGTGAGGATGAGACCACCGGCGTGACGCCGCCCTCCCATGCGTCATCGTACGACCCCCTGGAGCTGCTGCGGACATGCCAGTGCCAGTTCGTCGAGTCAGCAAGGGTGCCCATCCTGTCGCTGCGGACCGAGTCGGTCATCTGCGACGTGTCGGTCAACACGGAGAATTCCATTCGGCACACGGCGTTTTTCCAGTCCGTGTTGAAGCACCGGCCGGGTCTGCGTCAGGTGATGCGGCTGCTCAAGCAGTGGATGAAGGCGCGGCGGCTGCCTGGCATGAAGGACGGCGGGCTGCCGTCCATCTGCTGGATGCTGTTGGCCGTCACCTTCTGTGACACCTCGGCCAACCACGAGGGCCTGGCGTCACAGTTCACCTCGTGCTTCCGTCGGTTTGGCTCTCGGGAGCAGCTCACCATGACCATATCCACATTGGTGGCCAGCGGCAGTCACGGCACCGTGCAGCTCACCAAGGACCTCGACGACGTGGCCGCCAGGATCCTCTCGCCACAGAACCACGGCGGCGTGTGGGACGAGCTCACGACCATCGAGGACCCAGCGGCCATCCCAGGGGCCGACCCACCCGCGGACCTGGCGGCACGGGTGTCGGCGGCCACCTGGTTGGTGTACCTGTGGGAGATCCACCGAGTCAACCGGCTGCTGGACGAGGGGCGTCAGGCGGGCAGCGGTAGCGCCATCACGGAGGTTTTGAAGGAGGAGGGCATGGACCTCTACACCCTGCCGTCCGTCATAGCAGACATGCCGCCGGCAGACTGGCCAGGCATGTTCGGCGTCATACTCGCCGAAGGTAGGCAGGCACTGTTGAAGCCACAAGCGGCACACACAGCAGGCAGACAGACAGACAGACACCCCAAGACGGGAGGGAGGCAATGGCTCCTGTTGCACTCACTGCCTGGCTGCAGGTTATCTGAGGGTTGTTCGTGTCGAGAGGGTATGCGTCGACTGGGAGACCTGGTGGTCAAAGGACTTCGTCAGTAGACGCGACGTGAGGTGAGTGACCTGAGCCATGTCCCGTGTAGTCAGCCTCAATACCCGATGCCGACTGACTGACTGACAAACTGCCCGCTCTGCTCTGCTGTGCTGTTCTCTGCTCTGCTGTGTGTGCGGCCACACCACAGGTCTGTAGTCCACGGTCGTCTGTATTCGATTGCCAAGGCCCCCAATCTCGGTGAGATCCCCGAGATTCATCAGCCGGGTGGCGATGAGGGCGGGAAGCCGGCCTTCTCGCTGGTGCGCGTGAGCAACGAGGCCCTGGGCAACGGTCGCGGCGTGCCGTTGTTGTTCAGCCCGTGTCAGTGGGTGTGTCGGCTGGAGGTCATGGTCTACCCTGGTGGTGAGGGCCGCGAGGATGACTTCTGCCTGTCCAAGCAGGAGGGCGGGCGGCTGGCGGCCTTCGAGGCCCTGGCCAGCCAAGCACCCTACTGGCACGCCACCGCACCGTTCGTCAAGACGGCGTCCCGTGGCAACCTGCAGCCTCTGGTGCCCTACTGCAAGCACTGCAGCACCGAGGGCCTGGCCACCGTCAGAGACGCCATCCCATCCCTCAGTGCGCAGCTGCAGCAGGCCAAGGCAGGCACGCTTGTCGAGTCGGCCGACAGCACGCCCCACACAGACGTCCCCACATCGGCGGCAGAGTACATGAGCGAGTGGAGGGACAACGGCACCATGTCCCTGACCAACAGCCACCCCCCTTCACATGACCCCTTTCACCACGTCAGTGGGTGTGCCTCTGACGAGGACGGTGGCCATGCCGCCACTTCCCTGCGGCACACAACGGGCACCGTCACAGTCCCGCGACAGCAGCAGCAGCAGCAGCAGGCCCCCTCTAACCCCCCCACCCTGGCTGTCCATGCGTCACCGTCCCCTGCCCATCGTGACGGCATGACCACCACAGTCCATCATCCCCACCCGGCAGCATCCCCGCAAACAACGCCTGACCCGTATGTGGGCGTGGACGAGGGAGCCGAGGACAGTGATGGCGGGCAGCCATACTACGCCACAATGAGTGGGGGCGCGGTGGTACTACCTAGGATGGGAGACGGCAGAGTGGTCACTCACACCACCATCGACAGCCCCGCGACAGTCCAAGTGATGTCCCCGTCCCCTCCCGCACCCACTGTCACGCCAGCGACGCTGGGGCATCATGGGTTTGGTGGCTCGCTGCAGATCTTGCAGCAGCTGCAGCTCATCAACCACCACCACACCGGAGGAGGAGTGGCGGGGATGACGGCCCCCCTGTCCTTCAACATGGCCCCCACCCACATCCACACACTCAGCCACACCCACCAGCCCTATGCGGACCACAGTGCTCATGAGACGGCAACTTGCGTGTCCGAGAGCCAGCGGAGCATCCGGACGCTGCCTGACACTCATGCTGCATCCTCTCCATCCGTCCTGGACCACCATGCCGGCGGCATCCACCATCCCTCCTACCCATCCTCCCCGCCTCCCGTCAACCTGCATGGAGTCCAATCCATTCAAGTGGTGGGCCACACCACCGCGGCCGTCCCTGCCGCACAAGCACCCGCCTCTCCCTCGCCTGGCCACCACCTCGAGATGGCCACCGTCCACCAGCTTCTCAATCTCTGCAGGGCCAACCCGGACGCAGGACGGGCCATCGCAGGTCAGTAAGCTGTGGTGGGCGAGTGGGTGGGGGGCACGCCCGGGTGGGCTGGGCGCGCCACACGCTACGCCACCCTCAGACAGATACAGGTTGAGGCATCCATGCATTCATTCAGTGTCTGTCTCGCTTTGCCTGTCTGTCTGTCTGTCTGTCCTGACTGTCTGTGTGCAGAGGCTTTGAGGTCGGTGGCGTTGCAGCAGGATTGGGGGAGCAGTGAAGCGAGAGGTGGAGGAACTGCAGCTCAGTTTGCCCCGCATCCTACCTCGAAAGACCTCCAGGCGTCCGGTGAAGACCTCACCGCACCTCCAAACACTCAAGAAAACACTCAGGTACACACACTACACACACGCAGACTTCCTGGAATGTGTTCAGTGCCCCCACGGTTCGTTGCTTGCGGGTTGCATTTTGACCAGTATTCGCTCCCTGAGGGCTCTCCATACAGTAGTCGAGGCGATGAGGACGTGCTGCAGAGCGCCATCCTAGCGCCTACCCACCAAGTGACGCGCAACAACAGTGGCGTGCCGGGCGGCGACGACAAGACGTTGGTGCAGTACCGGTCCTCGTCCACTCCCCTGCCAGCCCCCCATCACAGTCAGCAGCATCAATCGCACCTGCAGACACCCAACCCACACAATCTCCCTCCGACCTTCCAACCGCCCTCAACCCAGCCATACTCGCCCGCTGCTACTGCTGTCACTGCAGGCCCTCCAGCCGCTCCAGCACGGGTCTCCCCCGACTCGGCCCTCCCTGCCTCACACAAGAAGGGAATACCTGACCACCGCCGGTCTGAGGGCTTCGTTGTGAGGCATCACTACAAGGTCGACCGGGGAGGAGACCCCCATGAAGCCGATGCCGAGCGGCGAAAAACGTCGATGGACTTGAGCATGGACGGTGGCAGCTCCGCCCGCCCGCAGACGCCCTCGGACAGTGCGGCCGGAGTGGACGGCATGTCGCCGCCGCCTCCACCCCCGTCATCTGTGCCTGTGCCCCCTTCACAGTACGCCAGAAGGGGGAGAACCGACGCCGGCTGGAAGCTAGTCAATGCCCCACCTCCACCCTCTTTGCCGCCAAAGGCCCTGAGAAGACATCAGGACCCCAACCAGTCTCCGGGTGAGTGAGTGAGAGCAATAGGAGGGCGGGAAGCCAAGGTGCCGTAACGTCTTGTCATGTTCTCTCTTTCTTCTTGTGCCATCTCTATCTATCCTGCGCCATATATCAATCAGATGGCACCCCCCTGTCGTACGGTGTCCACCCTCGGTCGAGCCTCCCTCGCCCCTCCCCCTCCCCCCAGGCTGCAGTTGCGACCCCTACTCGCCTGAAGGATGTGGCTGCTGTAGCGTCCCACCCCTCTCCATCCGGCGCCTTCCATCGGCGATCCGACACGACGACCGACGCCATGGTCACCAACAGAGACAGAGGTTTCGAGATGGCGGGTTCGAGCTCCTCTGGTGAAGGAGGACAGCACGAGTCAACACCAAGCCGGCCGAGGGCAAAGATTGGACTGACTGGAGGCCTTCTCGGACACGCTCTGGGCCAAATAAAGGCGTCTCGTCAGTCTCTCCCCAATGCCGGCGGGCGGACCGCCGCTCGCCACAGCAACGAGGAGGACCGGCCATCGCATTCTCGTGGCGAGCAACCTGGCCGAAGCAGCCACCATCGCGACGATGACCCTCCCAGAGGCTCACCCAGTGACGGGCACGTCATCGATGACCGAAGACGACGGCCAAGCCTCACCCGCGGCCACGACCACGACCACCGTGGACAGGGCGACGTTGTTGCTGAGGACCGACCAAATGGCTTCTCACCCATGGTGGGGCTTCGCCGAGACAACAGGCCGACTGGAAACGGAAATGAGGCGTATGGCTCATCGAGCCCATTGGTACGGAGCGACAGCGTCCGCCCACAGCGAGCTCCGCAACACGAGCCTTACGCAGCACCAGAGACCGTCTTCTTGCACGCCGAGGCCTTTCGCTCCAGCGAAGACCGTCCTCGTTTGGCATCAGTCGAGTCTGCAGACGGCGCTTACAGTTCGTCGCCAAAGCTTCGTGGGCCTGGCCGGGACGGGCCGTGGTCGTTCGAGCGAACCAGAAGGGCGCCGGTTCTTTCTAGACACCGTGAGGACAGCTCCTCCGAGGTGACCACTGAGAGCGCAGTTGAACCGCTACCGAGGACGGGGGCCCCACCAGAAGGAAGAAAAGATGCTGAGAGGACAAGAACAGCGCAGCATCCAACCGAGGAGAATGAACACATCGGACAAGAGACGCCAAAGCCGAGAAAGAAGATTGGTGGATTGGGGCTTCTTGGGCATGCACTACGAGACATCCATAGGGGCGCCGCCAAGGAAAGCATGTAGATGTCAGTTTGCCACGTCCTCGGCAGCATGCCTAGACCTGAATGGAGGTGACAGTGGAGGTGTTGGGGAGTAAGGCATGGGGCCTCGAAACGAGACAGAGTGACCTGATTGTTGTCCTCCTCGTCAATGACGTCAGACGATACGGAGAGGGCAGGGCAGGGCAGGTCAGGTCAAGCAAGTAGTCCGATTGAGTTTTCCTATGACTGGGATACATACGAAGCATTGATGCGACCTCTGGGGCGAGCGATTGTAGGAAGGTGGCGTTGGAGGGGCCGGTTGTCTGTGTAAAGGACGTCGTGAATGGTCTTGACGGTGCACCACAGACAGCGTACATGCATGTGGGTACTGTGCGTGCATGCATCTTTTGGGGTTGCGGGGTGCGTTCCTCTATGGATGCCTGTCGGTCTCTCACCGTATTAATGAAACACCAGGAGCCCCTTCCTTTTGGGGAATTTACAAATGAACTTTACCCTTCCGGAGACTGCTAGATTTGTCCGGCGGAACGACCCTTTTCCGTGATCATGTCAGTCATCGAAGTCAAGACGACGCCCTACAATGATCAGGTTTGTTCCAAGAGTCGACAAACATGAGAAGTTAGTCTGCTGTCATCGTTCAGAAGCCCGGCACATCGGGACTTCGGAAGAAAACCAAGGTTCAGGCTGCTCACCGGGTGAGATCTGTGTGTGGTCATCAATGAGTGTCTGTGCAGGTATTCATGGAAGGCAACTACCTCCCTAATTTCATCCAGTCGATCTTCGACAGCCTGCCTGCAGACGAGCTGAAAGGTAGGCAAGGTTGCAGCGAACGGACGTTTTGCAATAGGATGCGTGACCTGCAGGTAGTACCATTCTCGTCTCCGGCGACGGACGCTTCTACAACAAGGACGCCATCCGCATCATATGTGAGATTGCAGCTGGCAACGGCGTTGGGACCGTGTGGACAGGTACGCGGTGCCGACACCGGGGGATGTGTTTCGGAAGGTCAGCCGTTGACTTGCCGCAGGGAAGGACGGTTTGTGCTCGACGCCGGCAGCTTCTGCTATCATTCGAGAGCGGGAGAAAGGCATCGCGTATGGCGGGATCATCTTGACTGCATCTCACAATCCAGGAGGGCCAGAGAACGACTTCGGTGTCAAGTACAACACGAGCAACGGTGGGCCTGCCCTCGAGGCCCTCACCGGCAAAGTCTTCGAGTGAGAAAGAGAAAGAGCCAGCCGCACTACGTCGAAGATGAACAACCATAATAATGTGCCCTTATCCTGGCAGAAAGAGCAAAGGAATCACCCGCTACCTCAAGGTGGACTTGCCGCCTTTCGATTTGCACGCAATTGGGACATACGATCTGGTGCCTGGGAAATTCAAGGTGAGTCGGTGGAGGTATGTGGGTTAGCAACCGGGAGTCTGCATATGCCCCTTCATCGACAGGTCGAGGTCATAGACCCAACAGAAGACTATGTCGCGTTGCTGAAGACCATCTTCGACTTCCCGAAGCTGCAGACGTTCGTCAAACGACCTGACTTCTCAATGGTCTACGATGGTCAGTGGCGAGAATACTGAGACGCCCACACAAGTCTGAGTCGGATGAGAAGAGCTCTTTTTTTGCCAGGAATGCACGGTGTCGCTGGCCCGTATGGTAAACGCATCTTCTGTGAAGAGCTTGGTCTCCCGAGCTCATGTCTGACGAACTGCGACCCGAAGGAGGATTTTGGGGGAGGCCACCCAGACCCAAACCTTGTAAGATCGCGTCACAAGAGGACGTCACGCTGGTACAGCGTCCTACCTCTTCCTGCAGGTGTATGCTCACGATCTTGTAGAGGTGATGAAAGTCCTCAAGCCGGATTCCATCATAGAATCAACACCGGAATTTGGAGCCGCAGGGTACGCAGGCAACAAGAAGACGTGGTCTTACTTGATTAATCTGGCTGCATTTGCCATTACTGCCTGGTTAGTGATGGCGACTGTGACCGGAACATGATTCTCGGAAAGGGCTTCTTCGTCACTCCTTCGGATAGCGTTGCAGTCATTGCATCTTTGGCTTCAGCATCGATTCCGTACTTCAAGAGCGGCCTGAAAGGAGTAGGCAATTATTGTGGGACGACAGATTGCCTACTCCTTCCCTTCGTTTTCCAGGTTTCTCGCTCAATGCCGACCTCGGGTGCACTGGACCGCGTCGCAGAAAAGATGGGTCAGACAGCGTGTGTGCTAAGAAGATAATAAGAAGCGATGCTGACTTTCAGGTTTGGCCATGTACGAGACGCCGACTGGCTGGAAGTTCTTTGGCAACTTGATGGATGCTGGAAGGCTGTCGATTTGTGGTGAGGAGTCTTTTGGGACCGGAAGTGACCACATCCGCGAAAAGGACGGCATCTGGGCGGTCCTGTAAGTGAGACGAGTATCTTGACATTCTTTTTCTTTGCGTGCTCTATGACAGGGCATGGCTTTCGATTCTGGCCTTTAAGAACCAGGTGCAAAAGCGCGTTCACTGCAGCAATGAAAAGCCGCCATCGACAAATTTGTGCAGAATACGGCCAAGTTCCTCTCGGTCGAACACATCGTGAGGGAGCACTGGTCCACGTACGGCCGCAACTACTACAGTCGATACGACTATGAGGGATGCGAGTCAGGGCCAGCCGAGAAGATGATGGCGAATCTTAGGGAGCTTGCAAGCAAAATCCAGGTAGCGGACATTGCAATGATCTGTTCAATAATCGCATTGCGTCATGCTGGGGGGTTAGGCGGGAGGCATTGATCAGTCGAGTATCAGCCCTGAACTCGCAACTTACCCTATCGTGAGAGCAGACGACTTCGAGTACAAGGTTAAAAACGCAGCTCGGGAAGAGAATCAGGAAAAATGGGTTCATTCGTGCAGGATCCGGTTGATGGAAGTGTCTCGAGCAAACAAGGCATTCGATACATCTTTTCCGATGGGTCCCGCATCGTGTGGAGGCTTTCTGGTATTAACTGAAGTTTCCTTTCCCTTTCCTGTTGACGGCATTTGAGGATCAACAATTTTCAGGCACTGGGTCCGTCGGTGCAACCATTAGGGTCTATTTGGAAAAGTACGAGTCCGATAAGGAGAAAATGGACCAACGCACTGAGGTGAGGTGAAACGGATACATGCTGGACCAGTTCTCCGGATGATTTGGAAAATTCGTTTCTATTCAGGACGCGCTGCAATTGCTTTCCCTGCTGGCGGCCAAAATCAGCAACCTAGAGGCATTGACAGGCCGCACAAAGCCGGACGTGATTGTAAGAATCCACTCAGTTGCCGAACATCAATCATTGGTCTGTTTCGATTTCAGACCTGAGAACAGCTCATGAAGGTTCTAGGTTCCTTCTCTGCAATCGAGAAAAGGCCCAGTAGGCGCTGATTATGCGGTGGCGTGCCACGTCTCCAGATTTTTGTGCTTTTCCGTCCGTGAAGTGGCGTAGTTGATGAAAACAGTGTTTTGTAGCCTTTTCACTGGTTCGGTCGACTTGCTACAAAGCTCGAACATCAGGACATAGCGTCGATATGACATCTCTGACGAATTGCAACTCGTCGATGGCATCCATAGGCTGTTGAGCTCTTTCAGATTCTTCACCACTGCGCAAAGACACAATGAGCAGGACGCGTAATCATGTATACATGATCTCTCACTCGTAGTCTTCGTCTGAGTCGTCGTCGTCTCCATCACCCATCTAGTTCAAGTGAAAAACCGTCAAGTCAATCAGATGCTTTGGCTCCAATCTTGTTATCATTGAGTGTTGCCTGATTGAGCTTGTGCATGTATATTCGATTTTTGGCAGTGTCCGCATCCTGCCATCATATGGCCGACCACGAGTATGAAGGCATCTTTCAGCATTTCTCGCTCACTTGGTCGTCATTAAGATCTTGTTCTGACTCCGGTGACTCGTCCGACCACTCATCTCCGCTCTCACCGTTTTCGCCTTCTGTGTTTGTAGGAACGGCCTGGTGGTTCGCCTTTGCGGCTGCTGATTCCTTTCCTTGGTTCTCCTTCTTTAGTCTAAGGGACACAACACGCGATGCGTATGTTGCGCACCTGAAGGAAGAGGCTGCAGAGGCTTACCTGTGAAGCGATTCCGACTCTCTCACAACTGCCTGGAGAATTCGCGGCATTGCTGGTTGGAGGGTGTTTCGGAAAGCGTCGGGAATGTTTGATTCTGGAAGCTTGACGAGCTGAACCAACCGGGTCATCCCCACGACAAACCGCTTTTTTACTCGCAACCTGACGAGGGAAGAACACTGTCACAACGCAAAAACAAAACTCCCTTGCTGACCCCTTTTTCGTAGACATGCTGCTGACGAGATTCAGCCAGGTGTCCAATAACCCGTGCAGCTCGGGTTTCTGACGCAAAGAAAGAAGACACCATTCTGGCTCGTTAGGCCCATTCAAGACATTCGGCAGACCTCGATTGTGCACGAGACGAACAGAAGAGGGTCGTAAGCAAGAATGTTTCCCCACAACGAGAAAACGGCCATCTGGTAGTCCCGGGCAATCAAGTCACAGTCCTCTTCGGTTGAGGCTGCATTCCATCCTTTGTCCTTCATGATGCCCCAGGTCATGCGCAGTACAGGATCGATAAGGTTGTCGATGGGGCCTCCTCCACCGGCGCCTTTCCCCGTCTCAATCGCGAGAACGGCGCACTTCTCAAATAGGGGATTGATGATGCAAGGAACGTTGACGAGTTCCAAAACGCGGTTAGTGTCTGTGATTCGGACAGCCATCTCCATCAGAAGCGCGACAAAGCTCTTTCCGGCACGGTCGTGATGCTGCACGAAAGGGCAGGGACCAAAACACTCGACCAAATCACTTCTTGTCTCTGGCCCTACGTGTCCTACGTGTAGAAACCCCTCGAGGCCGTGGTAGACGAAATTTTCGATCACTGGAATCATGAACTCAACCTGAAAGAAAAATTAGTGAAAAGCGTTGCTGCAAAAACCCTCGTCCCCATGTTACAAGGTCCGTTGCCCATCCGTGTTGACAATGAAAGGGAAACTCTGGGCTGAATCGATGCAGCAAAACGGAAAAAGGAATCGATTTTCAGACATCTCCACACACCCACCTGCCGCAGACGACACGATGGATATGCACAAAATGTTGCCAGAGTCCGCTTGAAATCGGCTCGTTGGACGTCAAAAACGCCAAAATGGACACTCCCTGCAGTAAGAGATAGGAGGCAGGCGAAAACCAGCCAGGAGAGTCCGTTCTGTTCGTGTCAGCGTACGTCCTCAAGAAAGTCGATCGCGTCAGGCTGGAAAACTTTGCAAAGAAAAGGGGAAAGGGCCGACTCAAGAGACACGAAGATCTTCGGGTCCGGACACGCCTCCAAGACGGTTTGAATCGTCTTCATCACAGCAAACGCCGACAAATCTGCCTCGCCGTCCTCTGACTCGCGCATGCGAAGATAAGCTACAACTAGGCCCTCGATAACCTTCTGAGCGAAGGGGACTACTTCAGTCTAGAAGTCGTCGTCAACAAGCATTACCGTATTTCTTGTTACGTGTCGATTTTCATTTTGTTTCTCTCACCTGGAAGTTCTCCACTAACGTCTCAAGAGTTTCTACGAGATCTTCGCTGTCCGTTGAATAGATGGCGGATAGTAGCCGGTCGAGGCATGTCAAAATGTTCTGGACAGCGCGGAATCCCTCCGTAAAAAGCCTTTGTCTCTGTCTCCGCGCAAGGTTACCTTTTGAACCACGGGTTTCAACGCTTTTGTCTTGCAGAACGGCTTGAAGGCAACGCACGCCGCAACCCTGACAGGTTTTTCAGAATCCTCCGTTGCCGCAATGAGGTAAGAGAAGAAGTTGAGGTGCAGCAGGGGGTTGCTGATGTTCTTCTTTTTGGACAGGGCAGTAAGGAGCTCTGAATACGTGCTGGACGATGAAGAATCGAAATTTAGAGCGAGTGTTGTTGCACCTTCTCCATTCTGGTAACATACCGAAGACTTCGATAGCGAAGAAACTTGTCTTGACTCCGGACATCGGGCAAAATGTGGATCTCGATCAGCTGTTCAATCGGCAGACTCCGTTTCTTGTCGCATACTGTCTCGGCGACACTCTCGATCTAAGACAAATGCAAGCGGCGTGAGGAAGATCTGGTGGGTCAACGTACCATTGTGAGAGCGCCAACTTTCAGCATCCCCATGTTTGCTTGCTCGCTTTGTGATGAGCATTGGTATCTGCAAAGGCACGATGACTTAAGTCGTTTCAATCACTGGCATCTTGATCTACCTTCGAAGAATATCGTGTGTTTGATTCAGGATAGTCGTCAAGTTGCCTTTCCCGCGATATTTGCACAAGTCGCGCAAGAACTCAACGGCCGCTTCTCTTGGACTCTACAGAGATGAATGAAGATGGTGCGAGTGCAAAAAGCTGCTCCTGCTCGAGACCTGCATCGTCACGAAGACGTCCTCCTCTCCTCGGAGAAATTCCTCCGGATCATCTTCCCACGTTTCCACGTCATCCGCGTCGTAGCACAGGAGCGGGAATACAACCTGAAACAAGAGAGGATACGGAAATAGCATCCAAGGCGAGTACAAGAATTACGTGGGAGATGATGGGGGCAATGTGGGCTTTCAGGGCCTCGTAGGTCGCAACGTGCTCCAGGCACGATGAAAGGTACTGAAGCTGCGGTTTGCGCAAGCAAATGCAGAAGATGTACACAAGATAGGTGATTTGTAACTTACAATGATGTTGAGCATACGTCGGCTGATCCAGCATCTCTGTTGCGCCTCTTCATCAAGCAGAAAAAGCATCGATTTCAGGAACTTTGTTGCCCAGTTACCAAGGAACTGGCGGGCCCAGTCCTTGTCTTCAGAATCCGACACGAACGAAGGGTTCCCGTACCGCGTGAAGAAGCGGTACGCGATCTGGAGCGCCCACTTCTTCAGCTTGTATTGGGCCAAGTCCTCTCGCATCGACACGTCCGGCGGAAGAATCTCAGAGGGGACTATGAACAAACAAGAATCTCTCGAGCAGGCAATGCCTGCGCATTCTTTGCAGCAGTCCGCACCTTGCTCGCGGAGAACATCATCTACGAGCTGCATCCACTGGTTGGCTGTTTGCCGTATCGCGGGGGCTTTCGAAAGCGCCATTTGTGTTGCTGAGAAATAATACCTGCAGTGAATGAATGTAGAGCGTGCAAGTGCCCTTTCTCTTGTGCAGGCTCACTTCAGGATCAGCTTGAGCATAATCGCACAATCTTGGCTTCTCAAGCCCATCCGAAGCAGCTCAACGCCAAGAGGCAAAACGACCGGCACGGTCTTCTGCATGATCACAGTGAGTGGCTCTCTGGAAAGGCAAAGCAGGTGGGACGGCAGGTAACGAACGCTGCAAGTTTTTTCACCTGTTGTCATCGGTCTTCATCTAAGAAGAACGAAGAGACAGGAGAGCCCGACCACTTACTTTCACGACTGCAGTCGGCTGTTCTTTCTCTGAACTGACCTCATATTTCTTGACAAGCCGCCTAAGAACAAGAAGTGCGCAGTAGGTCTGCATCTGATCCCTCGATGCAAGCGCCTGACAGTAGAGGCAATGAGGATAATGTCAGGTGCCTCGGTGTGTGCGGCCACGTACGAGAAGGATGCTGTCGAGCAGCTCTGGCCAGTAGTCAGGGAAGTCGATTAAGACTATCAGCCTGATGCACTCATCGAGCTGAGCCCTGCAGGCGGGAGAAGAAGGGGCAAGTTACCAAGTGATGAAGTGCCTTGGTTGGAACAGTACATCTCCCTTTAATGCACCTCAGATTATGCTTGGTGCATATCACCATCGCGTTTAGAATCTTGGAACGTATAGGCTGCTTCTCTCCTTCCCTGAAGCCGATTTTCTTCTCCTTGAGAATGGCTCTGTCCTGTTCTGATTGTCCCGCGTGCCGCTCGTCGATCTCTTTCTCATGTTTCAGGTCGTCCTCGGGGTCCTTCCACCTGTGGGGCGAGATGAGAGACTGCATCATTCCGCCGCCAGTGACTTCCTCTCTTCTCTCAATACCACTTCCGGATCTGATTCTTGAGGGCAACAGCAGCAGCCAGCCGGATCGCCTCATCGATCTGAAGGAGGTGACACACACACACACACACGCACACACACAGAACAGTCCCTCGGGGGGTCAATCAGTGATGTATTTACCTCAGATGATACGACAATGTCGAGGAGCTGACACATTAGTCCCGGCGCCTTGTCGATTTCTTCTGACCTCTTCTCTGAGTGTTTGCGCTCTGCAGAAAGGCAAGAACAGAGAAAACTCGTGACAAAGTGGCCCCTCTGCATCGAATCATGCTGATTTCAATGATTGCAATCCTGCACATGTATTCTCACCCGACTCATGAGGGGAGAATGACCTCCTGAGAACCTCGACAAGCTCCTCGAGGCTGATGCAGCGGCACGCCATCTTCACAAACAGGGAACAACAAACAGACAGCGTCCAGTGGTGGGTGCTTGTCTCGAGGGAGCGTGCCTACCGTCTGTTGCTCTCACAGATCTCGTTGCTGCTTGTCTTGGCACTGCCGTCCTTCCTGCTCTTCCATCCGCTCGAACGAGATAGATGCAATCCAAACTCGAAAGCAGCAGCGGTTTCAGGGAGCACCCTACGCGGCCTGCGGCCAAGTCCTCTCCGGAACATGGACATGGGCCAGAGGTGATTCCGCTTCGTTTGAGATATGGAAGGGCTCTTACTTAGCTACCTCAATCCTGATTTCTTGACCAGACAAAATCGCTTGACCGCATCATGGAGTAAGCTTTTGATGAGGGTGTCTCAAGATGACTGATGATATGATGATGATGTTCTTCACAGGTCTCTCCAGCTTCGCGGAGGTGGCTGTTATCGTGTCTGTTTACCTGGTGATCTCCATCCTTGCCCCTCTGGCCTTACGAAGGAAGAGGTGTCAACACATTCAGCCGGATACCGGCGCTTGCACCGAGCACGAGGAGGGCAGCCACGCGCAGGTGAAGGCGGCAGCTGTAGCATCCGCCTGTGGTGGTGTGGGCCAGTTGTCCCTGCCCAGCCGCGGCGAACCGCAGAATGGAGATGAGTCGCCGACAACTCGCAGCAGCAGCGTCAGCAATGGGGCCACAGGGAGGGCCGGGGATCCACCTGATGGGGCAGAGCCAACCAAGTGCTCCAGGGACGTCCCCCTTGACCGCTTCCGCAGGGAGCCCGTTCTGCTCCTGCAGTCCATCTATGACGTTGTCCAGGTGGGAAAGAAGCGACAGGCACACCCTCACCTGATGCAGCATTCACCCACTCAGTGCGACTGTGTTTGCGCTGCAGATAGTGTTGAGCGGATATGTCGGCATGCTGGGTGTGTCATCTCTTCTGAAGAGCCTGCCGCATTGCCCCCTCATTATCTGGTGTGAGCGGGGGTCTTTCGACCTCGCCGCTAAAGAATCAGGTAGGCGATGGCAACCCGAAATAAACCAATCAACGCCAATTGAGGCGCTTTAAATACGTCTGTTTGTTGGCTTGTCCCCCGCCTTTCAGCTTGTGCCGTCGCCTGGCACGCATTCTACTGGTAGGGCCAAAGACCACCAGTGAAGCGAAAGAGGGCCCCCCATGGTCGGGTCGTTGTGCAGGTTGAAGGTGGCTGATCTGGCCGATACTTTGTTTATCATCGCTCGTCAGAAGTGGCAGCAGCTGAGCTTCCTGCACGTCTACCACCATGCCTCCATGCTGCTCTTCTGCTGGGTCATGCTCAACGCCGGATTCGCCGACGACATCATTATCGGACAAATCGCCAAGTCAGACAGACCGACAGACCGACAGATAGTGCGAAGGAAGGAAGACAATGTCAGTATGGGTGTGTACGTGACGTCCGTGCAGTTGCTTTGTTCACGTACTCATGTACTTCTACTACCTGCTGAGGGGCATGGGGGTGCGCATCCCACGATACCTCAAGTCGTGCCTCACTACAGTCCAGATGGCACAGGTAGGTACACACTCACAAGAAGTCCATTGATGGAGTGTGGGGGGGCAGGCAGCCAAGACTTGTGCGTGCCAAAGAACGGGTGTTGTGTTGTGTTGTGGTGTGTTGTGTTGTGCTCCATCATGGGCATGCAGTTTGTTCTCCTGTCTGGGCACTCCCTGTTGGGGATGCTGTTTGCCTTTGATGTGATACCTTTCACCCCGCCCGTCCCATCGTGTCCGCCCCGGCTGATGCTGCTCGAGACCTTGTACCAGATGACCATGTATATCCTGTTCCAGGACTTCAGCCGAACCGCATACAAGAGCAGCAAGGCGACAAAGGAGGCCTAGGAAGAGCGGGAGGCAGGGAGGCAGGGAGGGTGTGTAGCTAGCTGGGTTGGGATGAGGGAGGGGAGGGGGGCATGCATGGTTGCATTGCTTGATGCGTACTTGTACAGAAGTGAGCGTATACATATGCAGCTGCTTTAGGTTTTGTTACTAACGGTTTTGAGCTGATCTCCTCTGATGTGTATATCATGACTGGCGCGGGACTCATTTAATGCATTATTGGCATGCTAACGATACCGTGTCGATACAGTGTCGATCACGCACGCACACACACACACACAGTTCAGTGACGACGGAGTTCTCAGGGACACGCTGCGTGGTCATGTGGGCGTGTCAGCCCGCCGCGCTCCTCATCACACCCACACACCGTCACCTCCATGAGAAGACGTTGATTCATACATATACAGCACAGCACTTGCATCAACTAGCGAGTCCAGTCCACAAGTATGTACAAGAAACATAATCAATCACCGGTGGTCAGTCCACCGGTGGCTTGTCTGCCTGCGCTGACACTTCTATCGCCTTCTGCCTCCTCTGCTTGCCTCTCTCGGGAGCCAACGAGTCCATTCCTGATGGGATGCCAGACGAAAGGACAAACAAACAGACATACACACACACACACACACACTTAGAAATGGGTTTGGTCACCCACCCGGCCGTGTAACTCGGCCGCTCTAACTGCGAGCGAGAGGTGTTGGGAAGATCTGCTGCTGCGGCATTGGGATTCATGATATAATCATAGATGCAGGGTCTGCGCACCTTGCGTCCTCGAGGGCCGCGTGTTGCTGCAGATCTTGCTTCATGGTCCGGCGGGCGTTCACTGGCAACGCAACGCTCTGCAGATGAGGATATGCTTGTGTCGCTAGTGCGGAGCTTGCCGGACATGCCCGCCATTAAACAAAGGGTAAGTCGGCGGGCAGCAAGCAAAGGAACAAGGATATCGATGGATGAATAATTGCATTCACGTTCCATCAGGATGGAGCCTTGAGGCAGCTTCGTGCCCATTTCCCTCCTGACGGAGCCTCTGAGTGGCCCAAGGGAGTGCGTGAGGCGGCCAGCGAGCTGTTGACGACCGATAGCAGACGTCGGATCCCGCTGTCTGTGCAGATCTGTGTGGCCACTATCTTCGACCTTCGACTTTCGGGCCATTTGCGACCAGTGCCCCGTTCCATCTCTGAGCGGTCCGAGGAGGAAATCAAGGCGTACCTTCATCTCGCACGGAGCGGATTTGCCTCTGCGCTGGGGCTCGATGCCGGATCCACCACCAGTCCTGGGCCGGAGGACAACACTAACGGCCTTCGACGGACCACTGCAAAGCGACCAAGCCGTCGGTCCCGCTCTTCTCTTGCCTCTGATACCGCCTCACGAGAGCCGCCCTTGCTGGAACGGCAGCCAGACGCGCAGCAGTCGGAGGAAAGCATCACGTCTGGTTCCCCTCCTGTCCCTGCGTCGCCCCCTGGTGCTGCCATTGAGTTTGAGGAGTACTGGAGCGAGCAAGACATCGCAACGGGGCTCGCGCAAGGCACTCTGCTCAAGGGATCTCTTCGGATCCCTGCCTTCCAAACCGACGTCGGGGTACGTCAGAAAGGGCAATGATTAGACAGACAAGACTTGGAGGCAGGCAGGCAGGTAGGAGGGAACAGGCAGACAGACAAGACAGATAGAGAAGACACATACCTTCTTGGTTGCTTGCTCACTCGTAGCCTGTCTTTGCTTCATTCATGTCCTTGTATCTCAGCATGTAGTAGTCAAGGGGTCTGCTGTCGAGGCAGCAACACAACGATATCGCCGTCACCTCGGTGCAGAGGCCGCCCCATCGCCTTTTCCTGCGCCCCACTCTGCCAGCAGACGGGAGGGAGACGTCACCTTTAACACCTACCTGGTCACTGGTACGCGGCAGACCACACAGGCAGGCAGACAGCTTTGTCTGACGCCTGGGTGTGTGTAGGCTTCCTCGGCCGTAATCGTGCATTCCACGGCGACGAGGTGGTGGTCTCTTTCCGAGCCAGGCGGCGGCCGACAGGTGCAGAAGCCAGTGCATCGCCACAGACCGGGGAAACTGACGACCACCAACTAGCGACTGACGGGCACACATCGACCGAGGGGCCACCAGACGGCTTTGCTGCAGATGAAGGCCCTTCGCTTTCCGGCGAGGCGTCACCTTTATCTGACCGGTGTCGTGTGGTGGGCGTGTCGAGTCGGAACATCAACAAGAACCCCATCTTGGCGACCATTGCAAGGCCCTCTCGCGGGGAGGACGGGGCGGGACCGGAGGTCATCAAGGCTCAACCCAGGCAAGAAAGAAAGACACCAAGCGGCCGCACCGCAGGTCATGGCATGCATTTACTGGAATGAATTGATTCACGACATCTTCTTCGCCCGCATACATACATCAGGGACCTTCGCCTGGCGTCTTTCCTCGTCCACAGGGCAGATGTGACGCCTTCCACCCTCGAGCAGTTGGAAAGCATCTGGACGACCGATCGAGCCGCTCTCGTTCTCATGAGCTTCGACGCTTGGCCCAAGGAGGCCATGGCACCAGAAGCAAAGCTGCTAGGCGGATCAGATGCCATCTTGGGGGCTGAGGGGGACGCTGCTGCTGAATCGCACGCCATCCTGGGTCGGGCGGTGGACGAAGATGGCAATACGATGGATGCATCAGACACAACCTGCCTGCACACCAATCAGCGTAACGAACCTGTTCCTTCCCCTTGTCTGTCTGTTTGTTCAGTGTGGCATGGACTAGAGCACCGACCGTACGCTTCCGAAGTAGTGTGTGAGCTGGAGGAGAGGCTTAACGGGCCACAAGGCGCAGCGTCTGCCAGCAGACCCCCGTGGCTCACCGAGGCACTCAACGATCCCAAGAGGAGGGACATCCGAGACCAGACGGTCTTCACCATCGATCCGCCAACCGCTAAGGTACCAACGCAAGCAAGAGAACCCGACAGACAGACGGACACGAAGAATGCTTCCGTGTCCATTCATCGTCCTCCCCTCGTCTGTCTGCCGTCTGTCGCCATTTCAGGATCTGGATGACGCAATATCGCTTGAACGTCGCTCGGACGGCCGTGCGCAGATAGGAGTGCACGTGGCTGACGTGTCTCATTTTGTCACCGAGGGGACCTTACTCGATCAAGAAGCCAGAAAGAGGGCAACGACTTGCTACCTGGACAACAGGTGAGAGTGAGTGAGGCGACGAAACGCCCATAGTACACCAGTATGTACCCTCCTACATCTGTCTATCCGTCTGCTTGATGCATCTATGTGTGTGTCTGTATCGCATTGCAAGGGTGTATCCAATGCTTCCTGCCCCGCTGAGTGAGAACGTATGCTCGCTGCTGCCCACAGCGCCCCGACTGGCATTCTCTGTCTTCTTCACTATGACGGCTGATGGTCGGCTGCTCGACGAACCGCCTCCGGTCATACACAAGACCATCATCCACTCTAAGTGAGCCAGCGATACATGACATATACATGGACCAACACCATCGATCATTGATTGTCTTGCCCTCCCACCTGTCCTGGCAGGTGCCGGCTGGACTATGTGACGGCCCAACGGGTTCTGGATTCGTTCGACCACGGACCATCGCCTGATGGGCCCACCCCCCCTGCATCCCTTCTACATGACATCGATGCCGTGAAGGAATTAGAGTGTGTGCGGCGTGTGGCTGGCTCCTTTGGCATCCCCGAGGCCGTTTCGTGTGACCTGGTGACCTTGAGCCGCATAGCGCAGAGGAGGCGGGAGAGGCGGCTCCAAGATGGGGCCGTGACGCTTGGGCGGGCCGAGTCGGAGTGTCGTTTGATTCTTGGACCAGACGGCATTCCCGAGGGCGTTGATGAGGAGGAGCCCAGCAACCTGTCACATGAGCTGGTGGAGGAACTCATGATCCTCGCAAACCACGTCGTCGCCAAAATGTACGTTCACAGCACGCCACAGCCGACTGGCCTCACGACAGAGCGGAAGCACACAAAACACACATCAGTCAGCTACGTCGTGTCAACTGATGTGTCCACTTACTCAGGTTGATCGCTTTGGACCCCCACAGCGCCATTCTCCGCCGGCACAAGAACGCAGAGACCAAGGCCATCAAAAGCACACTCGACACTATCCCTGCCGACATCAGGTAACCAGACATTCCCACGAACGGGACCGAGAGGAAGGCAAACAAGGCGCTACACACAGTGGCTCGACTCCGTGTGACTGACGTAGACATTCTGCTCGATGGCTGCCTCTTGTATGTCTGCCAGGCGGGTTGTGTACGAGACGCTGGGCAGGCCGGAGATGCATGAGGACAGTGACGGGTCGACTCTTGAGGGTGGCGGTGTGGTCCGTGACGCCAAATCTTACCCCTTCTCTCTCCAGGCTCTTCTCGACCTCTGCAAGGCGCGCCTCAGCCCAGCCGCATACCAGGTACACACGCACACGGTAGCCGAGATTGCCCATACCGCAGTTAGGCTCATTCGTGACTCTTTTCGCCCGTGCTATGGACCCACCTATCTATCTATCCATCAGGCGGCCTCATTCGCTGCTCTCACCGAGTTCAACCCCGCCGAGTACTTCGCAGTGGGGTCATCGACCGAAGACACCTGGGGGTAGGCAGGGCAGGCAGAGATACACACAAGAGGGGGAGGGGACTCTCAAAGTTGACCTGCCCTGCCAGGCACCTGTCCTTAAGGGATGTCGTGTGCGTTGTGCGTTGTTTGTGCAGCCACTGGGGCCTGGCTCTGCCGGCATACATGCACTTCACTTCGCCAATTCGTCGATACGCCGATGTGCTCGTACACAGAATGTATGGATGTGTATCCCCAACCCACAATGCCCACTCAAGAAGGAAGGAAAAGCATGGCGTGGGTGTGTTCCTTTGTCGGATGTCCTCCCTCATTTGGTCTGAATGACATCACTCAGGCTGACGGCGTCTGTGTACTGTCGGCCGCTTCCATTTGAGCTCAAACAGCTACAGGTAGGTATGTACGGACGGATGAGCAGAACAACAGCAAGTGGGTGGGCATTCAATCAACTCACTACATGTCGTGTCACTCAACGGCTTGGCGCTTCTGCATTGTTGCAGTCTGACTGCGGGCAGTGCAACGAGAAGAAGAAGAGTGCCGAGGTGGGCGGAGAAGTGAGTGAGTGGACTGAAAGAGAGACCACGCAGGCCGACCTTTTGGCAAATGAGGAGGTATCCCTGTGAGGCTGCGTTGTATGTGTGTGTCAGGATGCCCAGATCGATTGCCGCAACCTGTTGTTCAACGCCTTCCTCCAGAAGCATCACCCGGAGCGGGGCTGGCCTTATGATGGCGCCGTCATCACCAGCATCATCGTCCCACATTCACGTGACCAAGACACAGAGGAGGTACCTAGCCAACGACATGGATGCTCTCTGCCACCGGACCCAATTGTGTGTGCGTGCGTATCTTGATTCCACCTGCCCATCAGCTGAGGAGGCGGTGTGCTGTTGTTTTCTTCGTTCCTCTCCTGGGACAGTCGAGGTGACTGACTCTCAACCAACCAGAGATGGATGTGCATACATGTCGTCGGTTGTGTGGAACACACAGGTCGCTCTCGTTTGACAAACTCGGCATCGATCTGCTGTCGGTCGCCGGTAGCGGTGGGCAGCAGGAGGCGTCAGCATCTAGTGAGGAACGTGTCTGCGAAGACGAGCTGCCTGGATATGTCGACGTCGAGTGCGCGGTTGAGACATCGTCTGTAGAGAGTGTGCGTGTACAGCATGTGGGTGGCGGTGGGGCGGCGGAGACACTGCGAAGGGGCATGTCCCGGCGGGTGTATCTCACTCCTGGGACTCGCAGATGGTCGCTTTCCTTGGCCATTGATTGACGCAATCTGACACGCCGATGCACATGACATAATGCGAATTGCGGCTGAACGGCCAAGAAACCCCCCTTCCCTGGCCCCACACTAGCCAGGATTACACTTGTTTTGGTTCCATTGCTGGCAAAGCGCAAAATGACGGCTGAGTTTGGGTACTTTCGCCTTCCATCCTCTCGAAACAGTGAAGAATGGTCCCATGCCAAGAAGCCCAGCAGTCCCGTCGCCACTCATGCACCGTCTGTGGACTACTCCAGTCGTCCGTCCTCCGGAGGAGCCCCCACTGCTGCTGCTGCATTCAGCCATTCCTTCACATTCGGTCCCCAGGTGTTCGACGTCAATGATTCAGAAACGAGACAAAACCATGGGGAGACGGGGGAGACGCCACGAATCTCACTGGAACCGCAACAACAGGACAAGCCGAAGCGGAGAGGGGAGGGGCATCAGCTGAGGGCATCTCATGAAAGAATACAGCTGATAAAGAGCCAAATTGCAAGGCTGTCTGCCGAGGAACTCTCTTCTAAGTGGGTGAGGTCCGCGATGGCGAGAAAGATCGTTGGCGTCCGTGAGAGGGTCAATCGATTCGAGCGCTCGCTTCACCTCATCAAACACCGAAGAAGGTAGACTTAAAGCAGGAGGGCAAAGGGTGTCGCCCGACTGTCTCGTATGCAAATGGTGCCTATTCTTCTCTTCTTTCTCGGGCTCGGGCACACACACAGGGAGCTGAATCGAGCAGCGACATGCATACAAGTGGCAAAGTAGCCAGGGACAAGGGAGCCCACACAGATGGTCTTGTTTGTGTTGTTTGTGCAGGCACACGTCCGCGGCATGTTGGCTCGACACTTGTATCTCCGTCTCTGCAGCGAAAGGTTCCAGGTGTCCGAGGTCAGGGCGAGACACTTGTCTCTGAAGCTTGAGTGGCAGTTGGACGACATGATCACGGCATGTAATGCAGCTCTGCTGAGACACGAACATGGGGCGGCGGCGAAAATACAGGTATGTATACTGATACACGTATGGATCTGTGTTAGCCTAGCCCATCTGTGTATGGTATGTGCGTACGTGTCTGAGTGAGTACGTGCTCTAGCTGTCCGTACGGTACACTGGTCAGCATGACATTGTATGTTCGTTTCGTGTGCTGTGTGTCGGTCATGTAGACATTCTGGCGCAGGTGGTTCCCACAACGGCAATGGGTGCTCTATGACAGGGCAGCCAGGCGGATTCAGGGGGCCTGGAGACACGCACAGAGATTGCACCAACAAACAAGACAACACACGTGAGTGAGTGGGTGAGACCATGCATTTGAGGCCGGCTTTCGTGTCAGCGGACGTCGGTGTGGTGTGGTGTGTGGGGTGGCAGGCAGGCCATCCCTTGCAGAAACACGGCGACGCCCTTGAACAGCCCCAGCGTACCAGCATCCCTTCAAATTGCGGATCAACCAATCGTTCTGGCAATTCCGACAGCCGGGGGCTACCAGAGAGATGAGCAAAGCTTTGCCAGCTTCTGTCTCGCCTCTCGCGATGAAGACAAGAAGGTGGTGGTGACCAGCACACTGGTGCACAAGACAGTCACATCACCCGACGGCAAGGACCAACCGAGGCATCGGTCCCGCTCGCTGGAGGCCCTTAATGTGTCAACGAGGAAGGCAAAGCGGAGGCGGAAGCCGACGGGTCCAGCGGGGATTGCGTTCAATTTGGACAGACAGCAGGCGGAGTTCCAAGGGTCGAAGAGCGGTGGAGCCAACTTGTGGTGGAAGCCAGATTGGTGAGTGCATTGTCGATACCGATGGCATGTCTCTGGCCCACGCCGTGCCGGCAGACTGCTGTATATGTCTTCGAGTGTACATCAATCATGAGGAGAGAGGGCTCAACGGGCACGTGAGACTCTTCCTACCCGTCCCAACGCGCACAGGCATAAAAACCGTCACGATATGAAAAGCTGAAACTCGACGGTTGACACAGTAGGCGGGGACGGTGGCAGGGTATCGGCGTCGCTGGCCTGAAGGGATGCTATCCACAGAGCCAGCCTGGCTTGCATACACACAATCGGTGTCACCCATGGTCTCCACTTGGCCTGCGAACACACGATGCGAGTCTCGAGTGTGTCGTGGCTCCGTGTGTCATCCATCCATCGCGTTTCTTCTTACCATCCATACGCATTCTGTCTGAGTCACTGAACCAATCTTGAGAATATAAAATGTAAGCAGCGATCCTGCGATGCCTTCCGTGGGCATCGGCGAGACACCGACTGAAAGACAGAGACGGGGAGGGAGATGGATGCCTGAGTGGGGTGGCCGTACCAGTGATGTGTATCCATCTCTGGCCGCCAGACAAATAGCGGCCTTCTCTGGCCTCCAGCCAGCGATTAAAAAGGCAGGGCAGCACGAACACAGCAGCAAGAAGGACACCACACACGGCACGGCACGGCACGGCACGGCACGCTCTCCCTCCGCACATTACCACTCGTCTGTCTTAACTGAGCCGTTTCCCTGTCAAGCCAATCGTCAGCCCTACCTGTCTGGCCGCCGTCCAGAGTGGCGTCGAGGGGGGCATTGGAGTTCGGTTTTCCCACGACCATGATGTCCGCCCGCCCCAGGTGCAGCTCGTGGCTGTGGTTGTCTTGTACGACGGCCTCGATGAAGACTTTTCTGCGTCAAAACCAACAAAGTGGACGCACACCCCTGGGACATATGTCGGTTGATCGTATGCGTGCCTGTCTGTCTGTCTGTCTGTGATGTGAGTGAGTCGCTGATTGACTGAGGGTGCGAATCGTCAATTGCGGGTTACGTGTGGAGAGCACTGCGCACACACAAGCACGCACACGCACACACACGCATGAATGGACCCTTGCTGGCTCATGGATGACAATCGACATTTACTCACTCTTGAGCAGTTGGATGAAGATGACGCCTCCGAAGTGGAGCATCTCCTCCTCGGTCATCCTGCCGGTGGGCGAAGCGCGCTGTTGGTGCATGGCTCATCTGTGTCACTTTCTTGCTTTGCTCACCGTGGGCCCTGCTGATAGCCGCGGAGGCTCCATTTGCTCGCGTAAGCAAATGTGCTGACCATGCTCTCCCCACGGCCGACGTACTTCGCCTGCTTCTGGTCGTTATCGACGTCGATCAGCAGTGATCTCGTCATGTCGATTAACATGGCCCGCAGCCGCCCTCCCCACCGTCCCGGAAACATGACGTTCGTCAGGTTGATGTCTCGATGAATGACCTTGGCAGAGCGGCAACTCTCGAGGTGGGCCATCTGATACTTCATGAGCTGGCCCAGCTCGAGAAGAGGAGCCACAGCTGATACTCGGTGGTACAGCTGGCCAGGCACGTCTCTAAGTCCTCCAACACCTCTGTGCCGCACACATACACACACGACACATAAATGGATGATGCATTCATTCATTCACGTGTGTCCGTCTGTCCATCTACGTACGCACCCCCTCACGGCTTGCTCATGTCGAACCGGTACACCGGCATTTCCTCCGGACCCCATGGCCAGCCTGCAGGTAAGGAGGTGTGGACGATTCATTCCCTCTGTGGAGTGCCCGTACCTTGCAGGGGCTCGCCAGCATTTGGGTCATTGTCGACCTCTCGAAGGTCACCAGCTCGGGGTCGTCCAGAGGGTTGTTTGTCTGCACAGCCAGATGCAGCCAGTATGGACGGCCACACGAGTGGGGCGTATCGATTGGTTGGTCTCACTTACGTGCCGCTGCCCTCTGACGTGTTGGTCGAAACGTCTGTCTTCATGCCCTTCTGCTCGTGCGCCTTGATGAGCTCCGCTTGGCAGCCTGAAAAATGACCGAACAACGAGAGGGAGGTCCAGTAGTGGGAGAGCATGACGGCAGTGTACGGTGCGGGCGTTCTTGCACAGGCGTGTCTTCATTAAATGGCTGGGTTGCAGGAGTTTGGAAGAAGTTCTTTTTGCTGGCGGAGAACGCTCGTCTCTGTTCCGCGCGATTCTCGCCATGGCCAGGGTTGGGTTTCAGGGTTTGAAGCCCGTGACTGCGGGGGAAGATGAATGTGCTGCCTCTCCTGCAGAATGAACCATGTCGGCTGTCTGCGGCTGCCTTTTTCTCTTTCATTTGCAGTGACTACAAGTCCATCCTCCCAGATCGCGAGCTGGCCAGTGAGCTCGCCTCTGATAAATGAATTAGCGTGTTAGCACTCATTGAGTCGGCGTGAGTGCCCTGGGGAGGTCGGCCTCCTCGATAGGAAGCCTCGGCCGACACAGAGGCCATCGCTCATTGGATTCTGCTGGCAGCAAATGAACGACGGGAGAGATGTCCACCTCTGTGCCCTTCTTGTCAGCCGTGGTTGAGTATAGCTATGGCAGCGGCGGCTTCATCTTCATCTGCTGCTAGCCCTCAAGCAGAGGTCAGTCAAGGCGCACAAACACATACACACGTCGTGTGTCAGAGCATCACTGACTCATTCGTTCGTTCGTTTGATTGTTCGGTTCGTTAGGCAATGGCGTCCCCGACGCCGTGCCGTTACAAGGAGGGCAGTCGCGTGCAGATGGTGACCAGCGGGCGGGAGAAGGGCAAGCAGCGGTGGGTCAAGGCCGACGTGTATCGCCTCGATCAGACCAGCGGGGCGGCGAAAGTGTCCATGAGGGAGGTAGGGGGGAGAGAGGAGTTCCGTCTGGTGGTGCCGCATAGCAAGACCAACACATCACCGCATGACCAGCAGGTAGAGTACACGTGGCGTCCACACGTCCGTCCACTCACCCATCGCATGTGCGTGTGGTGTGTGTACGCCCAGGCGCATGGGGGCTTCCGCCTCACTCACAAGAACTCTGCTCATCAGGAGGATTACACAATGGTACACGCACACAGCCACACTCGTGACGCGGCTGACTCTCATGCGCCTTCCTCTCTCGTTGTCTTGTGTTTTGCTTCAGGCCCCTCGTGGTCTTGGCGACGACCACCTGACATGTGTCTTCAGCTTCATGACCCCCCGCGAGCTGTCAGCCCTCCCAACCCTCTCCAAGCAGTGGCCGCAAGTCCGCAAGGGGGCCCTTCGCCAGCAGACACACATCGACATCGACTGCAGCACCGAGGCAGACAGCCAATTCTGGTACAACATGACCACTGAGGAGGCCTTCCAGCTCGGCAAAAAGCTCGTCAATCTGACAGCCCTCAGCCTCGTGCAGCCATACCCCGACCAGTCGTGGTATCTGGCCCTCGACCTGGACCTGGACCAGTCGTGGTGTCTGGGCAGCATGATAAGCGTCGTGGAGGGTCATGCGGACGGGCGGCGCGAGGCGCGCGAGAAGGAGGGGCACCAGCACATGGCGGAGGGATCGCTGGAGACCATCGAATTCACCACCGCCACTACCACCATTACCACCACCACCACCAGCCTGCCCTTAGACCTTCATCATTCATTCTTCGCCCCGCCCCCCACTCTCCCTGCCCTCAGGGCTGTCACTGGTGCCGTCAGAGAGCACCGTGAGCTGGCCGACAGGGGCTGGAAGATGCCCGCACTCGAGTATGTCGATCTAGGGGGGTTGGATCACAAACAGCTGGGCCGATTCATCAGGTCGTCCTCCTCGCTGAAAGAGGTGGGAGGGCGGCGGAGCTGGGGGGAGTGGGCGACTTTGTTTGAGCACTTCCCCGTCGCATCCGCCGGCCGGCCAGGGCCGCTCAGACGCCTCCGGACCATCGGAGGGATCGCACGTGGGGGCTTCGAGGGGGAAGAAGTGAGACGACTGCAGGTAGACAATCATCACACACGGGAGGCCTCACCTGTTGTGCACACACACGAACTGTGTCCTTCTCTCTTTGCTTCTTTCTAGGATGTGCTCTCATCGCGTGGCTGCCGCGAGGCGTTGACGAGCCTCGACGTGGAGATCCCACCGTTCAAGGACCAGGTCCTTGAACACCTGCTGGCTGTCGACGACTTCATCAACACCTGCTGCGTCTCGCCGGACGTGCCGCTCAGCGTGGAGATTTTCTACGCCAGTGAGGGCTTCGAGCTGTCCCTTTTCTACGCCGACGACTTCCCCTCTCGCCCCTCCCCCTTCATCAAGACGACCATCCAGGAGGCGGCCCGGCGGACGTCGCATGTGTCGTGCACCATCAGTCAGGACGACATCACTCACCCCATCCACACACCCAGCCAGGCGGCCATCGAGATCGCATCGAGCCTCTCATTCGAGTGCTGGGGGTTGGTGGTTCGCAGTGCTAATGGCTTCGGCCCCCCACCCGGCACCACCCCACCCACCCCAGCCATCATCGAGCACCTGCAGCCATTCCCGAGGGCGAGAGAGCTGCGTGTCTACAGCCCTGTGGGCGGTCCTGTGGGCCGGCTGCTCGCAGAGAAGATGCCCATGCAGGTGGGGCGTGTGTGGTTTGATGTAGCGGTCAGTGCACAGGATAGGATCGGTGTGCTGGAGGCGCTGGGGGCGGGGAGGGAGGTGGGAAATGTCCGTGTAGGCGGGGAGGGAGATGCGGTCAGTCTCACGCAGGGCGGCCCCTTTGACGGCTGGGGGTTGAATCGCCTCCCGTCGATTAGCAACATAGGCATGCGCTTAGAAGGTATGCCGGGAGCGCAGTGAGTGCAGGAAGGTGCTCGTCGATTCATCTTGTGTGTGTGTCCATCCGCCTTGCCTGTGTGTCGTCATTCAGTGCCCCAAGGGTTGGAGGCCTCTGCCGCCGCCGACATCATCCGCGACGGCCTGTCGACTCTGCTCAACACTGGTGTCCGCGGCCTGAGGCGTGTGGCGGTGGAGCTGCTGGATGAGCTTGGCGACCTTCGCGATGCCATTCGTGAGGTGATCCCCTACGGCACTCGAGTGGGCGGCTTCACCATCGACACACGGGAACATGATGACGTTGAGGACATTTCGCTGTTGGCAACTCGTGGCCCCTAGACGGTGAGAGCAAGATACCTGTAGTTCTGCTGTCTATTTTCGTGTGTGTGTGTGTGTGTGTGTTGTTTGGCCAGGCTGTCTGTCTGTATGTCTGTCTGACAGCATCGTAGTGTAGCTGAGAGACACCACACCCAGTCACCCACAGACCAGACACAGAGACAGGCAGGAGGCACCAAGGGGGAGGACTGGAGGGGTGGATGCGTGAGAGGGGAGGGTGTCCTGCCTGTCGGTGGGGTGGGTGGGTCGATGGTCTCAGGTGACTGGCCCGTGTGAGTGCATGGATGAATGAGAGAATGAATGAGGACCCTCCGTGTGGATACCGGGACTCCTGAGCGGACGTGCGTGTGCGGACGTCTGTCTGTGTGTGCATCTCTTGCCAGCCATGCACTACCACTTGTCTCTCTGCGGTTCATCGGATTGCGAAAAACACTGGGAACCTTTCCGACCAGCTAGCTTGCGGACGGAAGGAATGTAGATATGGGCCGCGGGATCGCGTTTTCTGCTTCCCAACGCCGCAATAAACGCAGTGCGTTGACTCAACAAGTTGCCACACGCAGCATGTCATCCATACACACGCACACGTGGGAGGAGAGGCTACCATCCATCCATCCATCCAACCATCCAACGGGGGAAACATACACGTGTCCGCATCGCACGTCGCCAGCTAGCTACTCACATGCAGCACACACACAGGAATCATGCATCCGTGCTTCACGCATCGCATCAGTCAGTCAGGTACCCACCCACACCCACACCCACGCCACACACACATAGAGATACGGTGTAAACCGTACCAAGCGCCTGCCTGTATGCATGTACCTACGTACGTCGGTCAGTCAGTCGGCCGGGGGGGCTGGGAGCTGCACCCGCCCTCCAGTGGCATTTGATTAAACTTGCAGCCAGCCGACACACACACACACAACGCCACTTCATTCACACATGACTGACTGACTGGCTGACTAAGAGCGTGGCCACTCAAGTGGTAAGAAAAAGAGAGGAGCCCAGTACTAACTGGTCATTCAATCACCATCTATCTAGTGGAGCACGTAGCCACCCAGCCTTGAGAAACACCGAGCCCGTCCGTGTGCACATCCGATAAGGGGGTGGATCGTGAGTGAGTGTACGTGTATTGTATGTGTGCTGTGAGTAGGTGGCGTGTGGGCTGAATTATGTGATGTGTGTGTACGTGCATTTGTGGACAGCAAGGCAAGGCAAGGCGCAGACGGAGACACACGCGTACGGGAGACGAGCTCGACACACGGGCAGCCCAAAAATGTGAGAAGAAAGATTGATTCCGGCCAGGCAGGCAGGCATCTGTCTTGTAGCACGTGACACGTGCGTAAAAAGTCACTATCCGGCAAACACACACACTCTCCTCCCAGCCACCGCCACACACACCATCCGGCAAAGACAGAGGACAGACTCACTCAGACGTACTCACACACCCCACGTCAGACGAGGACACACACGCGAGCCGGGTCTTTTATCCAAATGCCGTCCGTGAGTGAGAAGAGAGACCGAGAAGCAGCGGGTGTAAGGCAGACCAAGTTGATTAGCTGACCGAGAGGGACGGACACTCAAATGGATTGTTGGAGAGATAAGATAAGACAGGAGAAGACAAGACGAGACGAGAGGAAATACTTGGATTGCATCAGAGACTGACTGACTCGTTTTCAGCGAGCGAGCGAGAAACGAGAGCGCGGAAAAGAAAAGGAGGGCAAAAAACGACCAGCCAAGAGAAAGAAAGAGGAGAGAAAGACACGGACAACCTACCTATAACCACAGGACAACCAAGTCGTTAGTTACATCACGCGGACACCCACCCAGCCCCACCCCACCCCACATAAATACAGACCTGCGATGCAGCTCGAGCGAGGCACATGTCATGTGTGCTCACCCAGACAGACAGACAGACGAACAGATGGATAGACAGACAGACAGATAGATAGATAGATAGCCCAGCCGGCTAGCTACTCGTGCGAGGCCTGCTCTGATAGATGGGTGGATGGTTGTGGGCCGACAGGAGGCAAGAATGAGTAGACCACCCGACCTAGCTGACGCCCGTGGAGCAAATGTGGACACCCGGTGTGTGCCTCCATGTGCCGCCCAGCTGTGTAGATGGAGAGACAAGTGGCCATCATAAAAAATGTCAGGTGACTGACGAGCAACACCCCCTCCTGTGCAACTTCTTCCTCTCTGTCCGTCCGCCCGTCCGTGTTCTTGTCTAAAGCCTAAACCATGTAAAGGCCTAAAGACCTGGTGTGGTCACATACACGTGCACCTACATACATACATCGGAGGAGAAAGGCAGAAAAAGACAGACCATCCAAGGATTACTGCGCACACACAGGCAGCCACAGACACACCGCACACGCGCACACAGGGGCAAGTAAGTATGTAAGTATGCAACGCACGATAATGCATCCCCTTCCCCAGCTCCCAGTGGTGTGGCGCGTGCACGCGTGTGGCATCACTCCTGCCTCCGTTCGACGCGCAGAAGCCATCTGAACAGCCAGCTGTCTTGGTATCTGTCTGCAGCACTCAAAATTGGCAGCCAGGCACACCACCCGCCACGCAGCCCCCGCCAGTAGGAATCGACCAACACACCTCCGCAGCCCCTCGTGCAAGGGAGCGAGTAAGTTAGTTATCCACCCACAAACCTTCCCTGATGAGTGTGATGTATGCAGCGCACGCATGGAGGGAGGGATGTGGGCAGACAGGAATGCACGCAGGGGGGAGGGAGTGAGGGAGGGCGGGCAAGGGAAGAAAGAAGGATGACTGGGGACAGACAGGTGTGGATACAGACGACAGGAAACAGCGCTGTGTATGTATGTGTGTATAGGATGCATAGTCAGCTGAGCTAGTCAGGACAGTGGACACGTTGATCGATGCACACGCACGCACACATGACATGGACGTACGGATGTATGTATGCATGTAGGGTATGGACAGTTTAGTACGCATGGGGGGAAGGGGGCCCTTGTAGCAACACATTAGCAGGCAGGACACTCTCGGTATGTTGGTCTGTCGATCAGCCAGCCATCCATCCACCGACCCACACACTACAGCACACCACAACCGACCGGCCGACCAGTAAGGAAGTGAGCGAGTGAATGGCGTGTGCAAACAATACGACAGAAAGACAACCAGACAGACACACAGACAGACACACAGATCGACCGACACCCAGGCACCCCTCCCCGCCCACCCGCCATAAGAGATACAGAGGGGCGGGGTTCGACTCCGTGCAGCAGTCGAGTGGTGTCTATGCCATCGTTGCCCGACCGCACCGTACACGCACACGGCGACCGACTTAGTGTCATTAGAAAAACACCCGAGAGAGTGAATAAATCAGTGGGTGAATGGGATGGTAGTAAAGGCACACCTTACTTATTACGTACACATGGATGACAGGCACGCAGGTGAGTGAGTGAATCAATCAGCCCACAGTGGGGCAAAAAAGCGACCAATCGATTAGAAATCCCAACACTCAACAGCTCGGGCAGACACAGCAGGGGTCGGGGAAAATAACCGAGACAAAAGACGCACAAGACAAAACATGAGCCACGAAGGCAAAATGTGTGCCGCAGGTGATTGAGAAACATGGGCTGCCTAGCTGGCTGGTATGCTTGGTGTGTGTGTGCGTGTGGGTGTGTGTCACTGGCTGCATGGTGGCGCCCGTTATGTCTGTCTGCTGCTGCGTCGCGGTGTCTAGTATGACCTTTAAGGGCCGATAGGATAGCTAGACGAGAAAGTGGCAGAGAGGGAGGGGGAGGGGAGAAGGGACGGACGAGCCGCACACATCCATGCTGACACACACACACATATGCACACGGAGCGTGTCTACGTATGTAGGTATGCATTTATGGGTCAGGGGGCCACAAGACGCGAACATCCATGGAGCCGGGCAGGTACGTACGTACATGGACCACAACGTACGAAACAAACACAACTAAGTACGTACCGCATGCAATGGAGGGAGTGTGTACGTATGTACGTCTGTATACATGTGCGTGCATGTCAATCGGCCGAACCGATCCATCTGCCCGTCCATCCATCCATCCATCCATCCCTGGCGGAGGCGGTGGACAGACAGTGGACCGGCCAGTGGCCACCAAAAACAACACAATAGACCAACCAACCAACCAACCAACCAACCAGGCAGACTCAGGTAGTTGCCGTGCCCCCGATCCCAGCACATGTACACGAACATGAGCGTATGCAACTGCCTAGAGCTATCGTTCGATCGACCCTCTCACAACACGGCCGCCCCGCCCCTCCCCTCCCTCCAGATGATCTGCGCCACGCCCATGTGTGAGGACGGGCGACTGAGTGAGTGAGTGCGATCCGTCCGTCCCCATGAGTGAGGACGGCGGACGAAAGCTATTCCATGCGATGCGATGGGATGATGTGAATGGACCCAGGAAGGACCAACGACGACAGACAGACAGACACACAGAACGAACGAACGAATCAATCGATCACTCAATACATGCACGTTCCCTCAGTCAGTCAGCGATGGACAGAGAAAAACGAAGGCCAAGGGATGAGGAGAAAATGAACCAATGAGTGAGTGAGTGAATGAGTGACAGACACTCGCAGAGGATGCGCAGAGACTCACGGCATGCATTTATGCGAGTGGCCGATGAGGATGGATGGATGGATGGTGAATGGATGCTGTCTAGGTATGTCGGTGTGTGTGTGTGGGTGTCCTACAGTCAGTCAGTCATAAGAGACTTGATCGTTTGAAAATGTGGCTGCACCACAGTTAGTTGATTGAAAAGCTCGCCAGACAGCTGGCTGGCTACGAGCCGGCTCAGCAGGTTCCATGCGATCCATCGATGCGATGCACACTACTTGACTCGGGTTCCTCACCCACCGATCTGCCTTCAACAGATAACACTCTAGACTAGCTGATCACGACAGACAATCAGTCAGTCAGAAAGACAGACAGACAGCACACGGCGGCTCTCTTGACCTATCGTCGCGACGCGCATGCATGCATGCATCCATCCGTTCATTCACTCACGTGCGATTCGATCCAGCAGGCTAGCAACAAAGGCAAAAACCGTCACACCAACGAACCAACCAACCAGCCAGTCAGTCAGCAGTCGAAAC